TTATTTCTCAGGGATAAAGTACTGTTAGATTCAAAAGCAAAGTACATTAAATTGAAAACAAAACTCGGACACGAAGAAAACTTGAAAAGACATAACGCAAGAAAGATTCTTTCGAAGTCGGTGCTATGCTGGCTGGGAATGGTGCAGTGCAAGAGAGACGAAACGACGCTTGGCCGCGGCGCTATTCGAAGAAACCGGTCTTTCGAAGTTTGTCCACGTAAAATTTCATGTCTGCTACCTCGTTGGTTGTAAAGCCGAGTCCATTCGCCACCTCCGCGTTTCCCTCCACCAAGCCCTTGAGTACATGCTCAAAGTACTGGGTGTCCTCCGCCGACAAGCCGATGGCGGATGCGAAATCCGTAATTGTTGGTGACTCTGAAAGCAAACGCGATTGACAAGTGCTCAGTACCCGGATTCATTATAAGATAGATAAAATAAAGTGGAATTAACTCGTTTGCATATTCACATATTAACTGCGAACATACCGACGTCTGCTTCTAATATTAAACGAAACTCAGTCCGCGTAACTCTACATTAATAATAATGATGATAACTGATTAGTGATGAGCCGGATATTCATCTCTCACATTCTGACATCTAAAAGCACCTGCTGCAAAAAAATCATATTCTTCGTTATCTCTTCAAATGCATTGGGAAGGAGTCTGTGGCGCAGTTGATTAGGAGGCTAATTTGCACGGCAGAGTGCCGCATTCGAACCAGACACTTGGTGCTGTCGATTATTAACTGCTTATTCCTTTGAGAAAGGAATTCGATCATTTGTGTGTCGGTGCATTAGCTTGTCGCTGAGCTGCGAATCGTGGGAAAAACATGGTACTTTGGTGTGGTCATGTCAAAGCTTACGAGCCGTACGGTCATTTCGTCTGATGCGGGCGTCGTCCCGACAGCAATTCGCCTCCATCCACCGGACAGCTTATTACAAATCAGCCCCAGGCGTAACCGTAAATTTTAAACCTTAAAAATGGTTTATGAAAGTGAAAATTTTTTACACCTTTGACATTAGGCTTTCATGCGTACGGTTAGCAGTGCAATGAATCAGTTCATTGGCCAAAACTGCAAAAATACCAGTTATCTGATTAATATTCAAAGTAATAACGGACTAAACTTTTAACTGTAGAGAGCTTCTTCGATTCATGAATTGTCCGCTGTACAGCCAAGTAGTTGAAATTTTTTTAACGGATGACAGTAAGAAAACTTCCCTGCAGAATAATTCTAGGTACTCCTTGAAGACATCCGTTTTCAGGTGTAAGTTGAATCGATGGCACTACTAGAATGCTAGTGTAAGAAAGTATCAAGAGGTATTGATTACACCGTCGAACGTCCAGTGCAGATACAATGCTTTCTTACCGATGGCTCCGTTTTCTTAGCTTATTGTCCATACATAACATAATTATGATTCCAAACGGTAATAGTTTATTGCATAATCACCATCATCAGCTTTTGTCGATCCACTGCTGGACGAAGGCCAATCCAAGTCTGACCTTAAGCTCCTGTTATCAGTCAGTTTCATCGTTCTTGAAGAAACAATCTTCTTCAGCCTATCCTGCCGATAGTTCTTCCTACTGCCGTTTACTCTGTCATTGAATCTAATGTAATTTCATTGGTCCAACGGTGATCGGTTCTTCTTGCAACGTGCTCTCTCCGTTGTCACCTTAACTTCATCATTCGGGCAATGACATCACCGACTCTTGTTTATGCTCTTGTCCACTGGCTCATCTTTACATTTATTCTAGTTATTACAAACATATGCCTTTTCATGCTGCATTGCGCAATCTGCAATTTATGAACAGCTTTCAACCTTATGGGTCACGTTTTGTACTCATGGGTTAGTACTTTGAACAAGCAGTAGTTTATTTTATCAGTAAAAAATTATTGTACAGTCTCAACTGGTTTGGTTTTGGTTTTGTTATGTTAAGAGCTGGGTAGGGAGGCTGACTGATTGACTGTTTCTTCGACTACCTGAAGGGCGAATGATATGTACATTTACTGTTTCGATCCGGAAATCGCTAATAGTGCAAAAGTGTCGCAGTCAATGTGCTGATTTAGAGAATCACTTCACTATTTCGTTTCAGGTCTGTGCCTTTTCCAGGGAGAAGAAGCAGAATCAAGAATCAGGAGAATTTCTTCTCTTCTGACCTCTGATATACTCTGACTAAAATAATATTCATAATTTGATACTTACGTCCCTCTTTCAGTCTCACGCGAAGAGGGGAACAACATTATCGTATTG